CCAAGGAGGGCGCTCCTCTCCGATTCATCGTATCAATGAAAGGCACTCCAACGTATGGACTGGCCAACGGACTGTTTTGGCGTCTCTGCTTTCTCACCGCTGATTCGGAAACCACGGTCCGTTTATCTACACAACCCTTCGAGAAACTTAAAGGGATCAGTTTTCTGCAAAGTGATATCAAGGTTTCCTTCGATGTCATGTCCATTTTTACTTCTATCCCCTAGGGTCTGGTAGTCGAGACCGTCGAATTACTCCTACAAAGCAAATACGATAATAGGGAGAATCGCCTCGGACATGCCCAAATCCTAGCATTCGTGAAGTCCTTTCTCAGGACGTGCTTCACATTTAACGGAACAATCTACGAGCAGATGAAGGGAACACCAATGTGTGCACCGATTTCGGGATTTATAGCTGAGGCGGTCCTACGACGATTATAGTCACTGATTATCCAACAACACAGACTGAAATCATGGGTGTGGTATGTGGACGATACCTTCGTCCCCATCGAACAGGATTAGGTGATCAAGTTCAAAGGATGTCTTGTGGTGACATACTCCGCGCATACGTCCTCGTGCGAAGGCTCACCGCTGCCAATGAGTACACGTGAACCGGCAACCTACGCAAGGTTGAGCCAACAAGAGTGTGATTCATTTCCTGATTGGCTGTAGGACCAAAGTATGCGCTGGGTTTCCGGCAATCCCCTACGCTCTCGTCACTTTAGACGTGCCCCGCTGGCCGGTGGTTGCTCGCTCGTCTGACGGTCAACTTCCAACTGCCTATTCTCCACTTCTTCTGTACAGAATAAACTGTTCCTATCGTCTGCTCTCCCATGACTTATCTCCTCCTAAGGAACCGAGCCTGAAGATCGCAATTGCCAGATTTCAACTTGCTTAACCCCCCTATGCTATCCTCAACAGCGTTTTCCCGGACATACAGTTTACTGTGGAGGAGGAAGAAAACAGTCAGCTGGCCTTCCTTGATGACCTCATCTGTCGCAAAGATTGGGATGGTCTTAAGGCAAAATTGTTCTGGAAAGCGACAAAAGTGATGCACGTACTGAAAATCAAGAGCACCCACCCAATCACCTACAAGCGCAGGTGCGCAAGGACGCTTTATCGGCCTGTTGAGAGGCTTTGCAGTGAACCAGAATAGGAAATTGCTGAAACGCAATTTATTTGACGGGTGTTCAGAAACAAAATGGCGAACTGTATGACCTAGTCAAACTGGGGAAAAAAATCGCGCCAACCCCAAATTATGGCGAACGATCTCGTGCGTCAGAAATGTCTCGAGGGCCGTCGGCCGCCTTCTCACATCAGTTGGAGTTGGAGTTGCACACAGGCCGGAGGCAACCATAAGGCATCAGATAATGAAACCGAAAGACCCAATGACATGGCAAGAAACCTCTGGAGTCGTCTACAGGAGCTGGTGCAGTTGCGGGCAAAGCAACTATGTCGGAGG